ACGTTTTTCATTATACAGAAAGGCCACACCTTTATCCCTCAAAATTTTCAATGAAAAAAGGTTGCACACAATCTTTTCAAACAACAACAAATTTATTTGAAGTGCCTCCATAATTTCATTTTTGAGATACACTCATTTAAATAAACTGTAACAAAAACGAAAACAGAAATAATAATAATCAGCAGGAGTCCAAAATTATAATGTTGAATATTTGTAGCTAATTTTTCATTTGTATATAGTTTTCCTTTTCTCTGAATAATAATAATAATAATAATAATAATAAAGAATATTGCATGAATATATACGTGAGGAAACTGAAACTTAAACATCACCCGGCACTGTAATGGCAACAACTGCTTCAACTCCTTGAAGGGTCTGTGAGTCATCAAAACATTCGTAGTGGTGTGTGAGTGTGTCGGGAGTTTGTAGTGGGTGTGTGATGTGTGTAGGGTGTGTTTGTCTAAACGTATTATTGCAAAAAAGCACAAGAAAAAGCCGAAAGACTGGGACTACAAAGAACTACAATTCGCGGGAAAATGATGTCAAAGCATGTGATTGGGTGAGTGATAATCATGTGACAGTTCATGTTGACAAGTGATGACGTTTATTCTAGCGTGTGAAGCCCTTTGAGCTGCAGATCAGTATGAAACAGTGTCTATGTCTGAATGAAAATGCTTTTCTTATTTGCAACTTTTGGTTGTTTTTTGCAAACTCATTAGCGGAAAGACGCAGCGCTCTGGGACGTGTTCAATGTGTGAGATCTAAGTGTAACTCCTCCGGTTTCATATGCAAAAAAAAAAGGTTGTTCTGTCTTATATAGTTTCCATTTTACAAGCATTTAAACACAGATATGCAAATGGGAGCGCCGGCACTCCAGTCGGTCTTAAAGGGTTAACAGTAAAAACTACACATTGTCACTTTAAAGAGGGACTGCACACCATCAGAAAATAAAACTCCACCCCTAGTCAAGATTTGAAAAATGCAATGAAAGTGGGCGTTGCCAGGAGGCACAGAGAAGCATGGCCAAGTGTGGGGAATTTCCATCCTGGGAGGGAGTGGGAGGAGACTGTCCTGATGACTGTGGCTGTCATGTCAAGAGCCCCAGTCAATCACAAATTTAAAATGCAGTAGCTGCTGTTCTGCCTCAGGGAGCAGCACTAAGACTTACTCCTTTATCTTTTGGATAAAAAAAAAAGCCCACACGTGTAAACTTGTGTTTTTTGATCCAGAAGATCCTGGCTGGTTCCTGGCCCGCGGCCATCATTTATGTTGCTGCTCTGATATGTTGTACAATCCGGCGAATGAACAGAGTTTTATTTTAAATATTGACCCGGTTCCCCATACCACGGGAGTATCTAGTTTCTTGCTCGGCTCATCTATGCAGCTTGATGTGACTTCTGCCCTGAATAAAGAGGCGATTGGAAACTGGGATCAGCTCTAGCAAACATAGATTTCTCTGAAGCACCTCACAGACTGCAGGTTTTACTGGGGTAGAAACAGCACAAGCTTCAGAACAACTTACTGAGCAAACACTTTATCACAATCGGCACAATGGCTGCTATTGAACTACCACGATGATGCCGGCTACAGAAGCTCTTTAAATAAATATTTGTGGTAATGCTGCACTCAGCCGCCTCCTCGTTAAGCACAAAACAAGAAAAAAATAGGAGGGAAAATATAAAAATCTGCAAAAACATTCTTGGCAGGGAGTGAAGTGATTTTACAAATACTTTTGTGGTGAGGCTGACTGGTCGAGCATTCCAAGCATTTTAGCTTTTCTGGTTTTGCCAAATTAGCTTTAAAGGTCGTGAGAAACTGCTCATTTGTAGTCGAACTGTCAAGTGTCTGCAAGCACGTGTAAACCTCAACCATTGAAGCAGCTTTGCCACAACCAGCAGTGGGTGAGCGACCTTAAGATTGAGTGAAGGGAGAAAGCAAGTAGCTATTTTGTTTAAATATTGTATATTTTAGTGCATAAATACAAAAAAAAGAACTGGTAAAATAAGCAAAAACAGGAAAGTTCAGTTATAATAAAGATAAAATTAGCTTCTTTCTTTGGTTTTTGCAGATTTAATCAGGACATCTGATCAGATCACAGTCTGACACCCAAGCTAATTTTATTAAAGTCTCTCAACAAACTTAATTTGCTTCATTCAACACTAGAACTGAAGCACACTTAGCGCCCTGCAAAAAAAGGCCTGCAACTTTAAGTTCTGTTGATTCAAATGCATCTAAAGCATCTTGCACAATATTTGAATTTGAAGACCCCGTCTCTTTTGCAATCAGCTAACTTGACTTGAAATGTTTGTTTATTTATTTTGCAGGTGATTTTCTCCAAAGAAACATGCAAATTAACTAACATGCATGTTTTAGGCCTGTGGGAGGGAACCAGAGCAAGTGGAGAAAACCCATGCATGCACAGAGGGAATACGAAGCTCCACGCAGAAATGCCCCAGCAGGGACTCAAACACACAGTCTTGCTGCACCACTGTGCAGCCCAAGTATGTAAATCTGATGTCAGCAATATCTTGTTGATGTTGCAGGTTGTGTGTTATTTTTTTTATTATTTTCACATCAGCTGCATCACCCTACATGTGAAAAATGAACCAACCACTAGCCAACCCTTCTCACTCAGGTTTATGTAAATTCATTTAAAACATATTCTAATATCAGGCAAAAATAAAAACTGCCTTTTGCTACAAGCCGGCAGCGCTAACCACTGCACGTATAAAGTGGAGATTCATCACAAATGCAGGTGGTGAAACTTGTCGCACAAAATGTTAGAAAAAAACAACGCTGCTCTCAGACCAGCTGATGAACAGGGCAGTGGCAGCTCACCAGAACCTGGCGACTGGTGGCTGCTCCCCTGTCAGCTAAATAAATAGAAAGCACTGAGGCATTTAGCAGTTAAAGCAGCCTGCCACGTGCGCTTTAGACTTTCCATTTGGTCCTATGAACTAAGACTTGAGGTGGGCTACCCATTACAAACACACCCTCACACAAAGGACACACAGTTACGCCGCACTGGAAGCGTGACATCCCTCTAACTCTCTGCGGGGGAGAGAGAAGACTTCCTGTTTGTGAAGCTAATAACCATTCGTTCCTTCAGGCGACTCCTTTTATATCCTTTATATCATACACACCGGTGGCAGAAATAAACACACACGCACTCATTTGCTCGCACCTGGTTGCAAACTCAGCAGGATAAATAACCCTGAAATGTGATTTACCTGCCAAAAAAAATGAATAAACAAAAAAACCAGCAAGTGGCACCTCTGGGTTTAAACAATGACTGATGCAGTTTCCATCTTGCACAGCTGTCAGCCTCCTTTTTTTCTCCCCAATTCTATTTAACCAACAAATTCAAATGCAAACGTGTGCTGCCTGGCACGCAGCAGAAATGTAGTCAGACAGTTGATCACACACACAGTTCTCCTTTTAGCTTGTAAAAAGTGTGTGATGGAGAAACAAATGGACATTTACAACAAAGAACTGACCATCACATCAATGCAGTGATGGTTAAAAACAGGTTACAGCCATTCTGAAGCATGTTTCTGTGTAAAAGTTGTAAAATCACTACTTATGTTGTAGAACGGCCTCTGTTTGGAGAAATAGCTTACATCAGGTGTGATGAGCTAACAGTTAATCATGTTATGTAAAAATCGCTGCAGAGTTCAGGTTTATCAAATAACTTTTACATGAACTGTTGTGAAATGTAGATTTTTTAGCCATCTTAACCAGTTTGAAACATACTTTGGTTTTGGCTGTGTTTAGCCCTGCCATTAGCTCATCAGTCCCAATCTACTTCTCTAAACTGAGGCTGATTAAGACACTATTTACTTATATTTCTACCCCTAAACCCACTTTAGAGTGACCAAAACAACCTAACTGCCACCCACCCCGTTAGCTGTGTTTAGAACAAGACATTTGAATGTTTAGATGAGGAGCAGCTGTTTTCAACTGCAATTAATTTACAATTAAATGGTGAAGCTGAAACCAGCAGCTCAAACAGGAGGGAGGGGGGCAGGTGTGTAAACGGTAACAGATTTTTATTTCCTATCATTTTTATTTCAGGAAAACCAATAGAATAAACTACAGAAGGAGCCTTTGAAGGTTATTTGTAGGAAAATACGTGTTTATTTGACTTGTCAGAACAGAATGTGTTTATTAGGAGAATTAAGACGTGACACGTTCCTAATACCAGAGATATACTTCAGACCGATTCCCATGATTCCAAAATGCGTTCTAGTCTATGTTGACTTGCATCCAAAGCAGATAATTCACTTTTGCTGTGGGAAAACTTCCTGCACTCTGGTGAAAGTGACTTGCCAAAAGGCGACTGGAGGCGAGGCACAGACTGGTAATCCTTCTGGATGAGTGGGGCCTAAATACCCCCCACTCCAAACCCCTTTCTTATGCCATCCCCCACACCCCACCCGGCAGGGCTGACAGGCCACCCCATCCAGGAACACAGAAAAGCCATCTGGTGTTTGTTTGGGACAGCGAGCGAGGTGTGTGTGTGTGTGTGTGTGTGTGTGTGTGTGTGTGTGTGTGTGTGTGTGTGTGTGTGTGTGTGTGTGTGTGTGTGTGTGTGCTCCAACTTGTGTTTGTCTGCGAAATCCAATAAATTACAGAGTCTGAACCACTGAGTGACTTCACCAGAGCGTTTTTGTTGTTGTTGGGATCCAGATGTGTCAATCATTTATGGCACATGTTGGCTCCACTACAAACAATCTGATCAGGTCAAAAGATACGGAGTTAATCTGTGACTAAAGTCCTTATCACATTAACCTACTTCACTACACACACACGCACGCACACACACAGCTGTTCACATCTGCTATTCTAACGGGAATCACGGATGTGCTCAGCGTCCACCTGACTCACGATTCTCCCAGGCGTCATGTCTCATACAGGTGCTGTAACATCCTGCGCAGAAAAGGCAGGATGATCATGCGCCTCTAAGCTTTTCTTTCACCCCTTTTCTCCATCAGACTTACCGAGCAGCGCGCAGGCAAGAAGAAGCGCACCGGTTGCCATTGTAGGCAATGTGTTGCTCCGCAGATTCCCTCCCAGTATCCCTCCTTTTCACTGTTTTTAATAGAAGAGCAGATCAATGCAAGCGTCTGGTCGAGCGGCGCTCCTGGATCAGAAGGATGATGAATCCCCAGAGAGAGGAGAGTTGGTGCCCGAGGGGGGAGAGTTTAATCCAGAGCACCGGCGGTTTTACGGTGTATGACTTTCCCCAAGCTTCCGATGATGATGCTTCCGCTCGCCTTCATCCTCACCTATCGCTTTTATCGATGACGATGTGTGCGTATGCGCGGCTCCAAGGCGACCCAATCCACTCCTCCGCGCTTACTACGCATCCGAGACTGCGGAGGCGACCCACACGCAGCCCCCTCCCCGGGAGAAATTAAAAAAACGAACAAATAATAAAATACGCACAAGTCTTGTGCGTGTAATTGGATCCCCGTTCAACGAGAGAACACCTAAACGTTACAAACTACAGAGGATCCGATGTGGGAAGATTTCATCTCGTCTTCCCTGATTGGGGAGCGGCTCCGGCTGTTTCCACCGTAAATCCCGGAGACGAGAATCAATCTCCTCCTGGAGAAAGCCCAGCGGGGCGGGCGCTCCTGATGAAGGCTGCGCGCTGAAACACGCACCGGATTTATCAATTAGCAGTGCACTAAAGCCAGAAAAGAAAAAACTCAGTCTAGCAGCCGCGCACCTGATCCACTGTCCCATAAAACCAAAATCTCCACAGAGGCGCTCAGAATAAGCAGTGCGCTCAAAATCAAACCGTTTAAATCGACTTCTTCTTTAAAAATAATAAATAAATATATAAAAATGTCCCACAAGGGCAACAGACAGAGCTCCCTCTTCCAAGGTTATTTCCTTGTTTCCTACCAGGGCAGTTTGAAAACTTGGGAGCGTGTCCTCTGCTCCCACCCACTCACAAGCCACGCCCAGGCCGCGTGGGGTTCTGCCCTATGGCCAAATTTGCATCTCTGATTTAAAATACTGGGGCAAGCCGTTGAAGGGATGAATAGGGTAACCCAAGTGGAGTGTAATTACATTTCTAAAGCTTTCTTTTTTCCCACTTTTGCAGCTGCAGATCACATTTCAGGGATAACAAGAACCTTTTGTAAGGTGTGATGAAAGGAAAGGGTCTCCTTTAATATCAAGCTTTCATTAATTTATCTCACATGCCTGTGCTTCTCACAAAAGTCACCTTATCTTTTATAATTTGCCCAGCAGTGGTTGTGATGCAGACAGATTTTTTTTTCCTATCCCCCTGCCAACCTACACACACACACACACTCCTGACTGTCAACATAATGAGGTCCCACTGTTTGGGAGCTGCAGGAATCTCATAACAAACGCACATTTCCTCAACCCTTTCAGGCTTCAAATTGCATTCCTCTTTAATTTAATTATGAGGTGCAAAAAGTTTGTTTGGGCATTTATTTATTTATTTTCTAGTCTCTGCAGCATTATTTATAAATAGAGCAGCTGGAATTATGGTTTGCAGGTTGGAAAGAGAGAGAGTGTCAAAAAACAGAAGAAAACAGAAGGCTTCATTGATGTGTAATACATAAATAAATGAAGCTGGGCTCTGCACATCATTTGGATTTATCCAGTATTCTCATTATCAGCTAAGTTCCCACCGCTGCCCAAATGCAACACGATTGGCATTTTTTGGAAGCAGTAAAAATGATTACCCTCCCTTTGCTTCAAACATGTACTCCAGCCCAAATCAAACCTACTGAACGTCTGGAGAGCTGGGCGTGGACCCTGGGGCAGTGAGAGGGGAGGGGAAGGAGTATTTACACAATACAGGACATTAATAAACCAGTACTTCACACAATGGTTTGCCAAATAAACTCACGAGTGGGAGCCTTTATGTTCCTCCCTGTGTCATTACGAAAAGACAGAGGGTTCATATTGCTGATATCACGAAAGCAAAGGCTTTAGCAGACGTTGCTACCAGCAAAATGTAAGTCAGAATAGGATTAAACTATGTGATGAACATGTGGGTTATTGGTTCAGCTTCTTTAAAGTCAATCCAGGTCCACTGCTGTTGAAAGGACACAGAGCCAAAGAGAGCTGGCTAGGTAGGCCATGAGTGTTCCACCTGGTCTACATAGCAGCAGCTAAAATTAACCCAGTTCTCCACAGACTCCTTATTGCAACTTGGCCAAGCAATGACACAGTTTGCCCATCTAAGCAGCAGCAGCAGCAGTGAGCAATCGTGTTGAAAATAACCTCACTTTTGACCTCTCCATCACAACAGCTCCCCTCAATACATTTGATGAGAGAAAAAGGGAAAAGTCTTTGAAGAAAGGTATAGAGTAACGTGTGAAAGTGATAATGATCAGGTTCCCATGGAAACAGAGATCAGACTATCATGAACTCCATTAAACAGATAGTTTTTGTGTGGCAATATAGATATGTACTTGTTTAATGTTTGCACAGGTGACAGGACCTAAGTTCGAATCCCGGACGAGCCCTCAATAATTTGACCATTCTGGCTCAAATGGCCACAGCAAAACAACAATTTGCCTGTTTTAAAATTGTAAAATCCAGCAATGGTCAGTTTTTAGGAACAGTTTGACCATCCAACATCTGGTCACAAAGGAGACATGAGACTGCATGTGTTCCCTTTAAATCAGCCTGCCTCCATCCCACCAGCTGGATCTCAGAGCTTGCAGCTCTGAACACAGATAACGAAATGTCAACAATAATGTTCTCTCCTCAAGGTCCAATCTTTCAGGAGATAATCATTAAATAAACATTTGTTTATTGCTACTTATAATAATTATAATATAATGAAATGTTTCATTAATTTGTGCTGAATGATTGAAGATTGAAATGAATGTTATGTTATGATAACAGTGATTGAAATATGTTTCAGCATGTTTATATGACGAGGTCATCTCCATTGGCACTCACACAAGGACAAAATAAGTTAAACCCATGACACATAAATAGTCCCTTACCCCAGATAAGAGCATCCGGTATCAAGGGAGGCGTGTTTCTGAGATTCTTGGTAATAGTCCTCAAACTTGTCAACCTCTGGTTGGCTACACAAATCATAACATGAGAACATTAAAACCAGATTACTCTGGTAATTCCTCAGTTCTAGAGAAAGCTTCAGACCAGCCATCTGAAGCAAAAACCTTTCTAACCCATCAAAGCTTTTGACATGTCGTCAAAACATTTTTGCACCTGCAAAGCTGATGCAGAAACATTTCCTGCAGAACAAGCTGATATTGTTTAGACTCCTTAAAGACTCCCAGACGCGCGGTTCCATCCATCTGTCATGACCCGAGACATCTCTGAACTGAAGAGTTGGTGCTACGGTATTCTACAGCCCTCCGGTGCAAGAGGTCATCCGACCTCTCTGACCTTCAGATCCACCAAGAGGGTCTCCGAAAACGGGTGAAGTAGACACACAGATAGCGTCTGATGTGCTTTTGATAATAATCAACTTTATAGCTTAACGCAAACCAAATTCTTTTGCATCCAGAACTCAGCTCTCCTAGATACGGAAGTTCTGACTAACATCACATTCACACATAGGTTCATAAATCATATCTAGCTCCATCCATCACAGTAAATGCTTAGTTAACTTGTCATGTTTTAATTGTTGGTAAAATAAAATCTTACTTTTATAAACCTGACTCTTTTCTGAATCAAAACGAAGTGTATACAATCCTTTGATAAAGCAAGAACCCTACAATCTTCTGATTAAACCCTGTAAAGACCAAGCCCCCACAATGCGGGTGAAAAATTGAAGCAAACGCAGAAATGAAATAAATTTCAGTTCCACCCTCATCTACTGGGGGCTGGTGTCAGAAGCGAGCAAATCCTCATTGACTCCCATGTTAAAAATACCAATTTCACAGCAGAAATAAACATGTTTACAGCCTGGTACCAAAACATGTTTTTTGTTTAAATGATCTAGTTTACACTCATGACAACTCTGAGGGGGGTGATTTCTTTTCTCACTCTTCTGTTTAAGTGTATTAAAAGCCTAAAATTCTGTATAATTAATGAGCATCAGACCCACGTGACCGCAGAGCTAGCTCCGTGGAAAGGCCTCAGTCTGAGCCTCGGCCTCGCCTGAAAACTGTTCGGTCGTTTTCAGTCTCTCAACATAGACCCTTAGTTGTAGCGTTTGTGCGTTCCTTTTTGGATATTATTTGTGCAATTGTTGGACAAAATAACTTGCTGTGGCTTTAATTGCACTAATAGAGCATCCAAGAAGTCTCCACTTCATTTTTTTCGGTAAGTAAAATTATATTCATGTATTTTAGGTCACCGCCGAGCTGAGCTTAGATTTTAACATGTACTGTTTAACCATGAAATTTAAATGTAATAGGGTAAAAACCCAGTGCATTTAACATAATGCTGCACTTTAGAAAATGGGTTGAAACATAACATATTGGTGGAGCTGGGTTCCGACTATCGGCTTGTGGAGCTCTCGGGAGACCGATGTTTTCCACCCATTTCTCCCCTCCCCGCAGCTCTGCGCATCTCTGTCTGATTGTGGCTCCTGACTGCTGCGCGGGCTGCCGGCTTGTGGAGCTCTGGGATGGAAACCTTTCCACCCGGTTCTCCCCAGCGGCAGCTCTGCGCATCTCAGATCGCAGCGGCGCTTGTCTGCTGTGCGGCTGCCAGCTTGTGGAGCTCTCAGATGGAAACCTTTCCACCCGGTTCTCCCCGCAGCTCAGCGCATCTCTGTCTGATCGCGGCTTCTGTCTGCTGCGCGGGCTGCCGGCTTGTGGAGCTCGCGGGAGACCTCTGTGTTCCACCCGGTTTTACCCAGCGGTCAGCCCGGCGTATCTCTGACTCAGAAGCTCTGGTGTTGTGCACAGTTAACTCCAGTTGTAGCTAGATTGCTACCTCCGTTAGCTTAGCTCCCACTTCCGCGTTAGCTTTGGGTTAGCTTCAGGTTAGCTTGTAGCTAGTTCGACCGGGTGTTGTCAGTTGATCCCAGCCTTACAGCCCCACCCTCAGCTCCACCTCTCTTCCCTTTTGTGGAATTGTCTGGGCTTGACGGAACCTGTGACACAGTCAAAATGGCGGTGGTGGCCACCTCCCATTTTTCTTCAAAAACGTGTTATTGGAGTCTATGGAAACCCATTGTCCATATATTTATATGTCGATGGTAAAGACCAAGCAGGGTTGATATTCTATATTTAGATAGAGTATCACAGCTTATTGGTCATAAGTAGAGGATCTTATTGAGCTCTTAAAGCACTCAATTTCCCAAACCCTACAAAATTAATGAATAACAATTTATTAAATCTAAATATAGTTAAATCCAAAGCTTCACACAATTTATCATGGGAGTTTGTAAAATTGAAGTTTTATGATGTGCATGAGAGAGAAAAAAAAGCACAAATGTTAAAAGTGCAAGATAAATCTTCAATGTCCACAGGATTTTACTGAATACAGGAGTTAAATAATCATGAAGCTTCTGTATATTTAAAGACATCAGATAGTTATAGCCCGGAGTTAAGTTAAAGCCCCACCCACCCCAAAAGGACCCACAGGGATCTTAACAAGGCCACTTTAATAGTAATAATAGTACAAATCTAATACTTGTAGCACAGTCTGTTGAGCTACAGACATCGTATAGCTAAGAGAGAGACAAAGTGTAGAAGAAGAGAGAGTTTTGTTCACTTATTTCATCATGCACGGTTCTTCATGGAGCGTCCCAAAAGTGCATGAATGATTTATAAAGATTTCTTTGTGCATTTTTCCTCAGTCTCACATAAACACGCCAGACCTACACAGAGGATACTGCAAAACAAGTCACAAACAAACGCTTGCACATACAGCATCAAAAGAGTAAACTAAGTAGAAAAATTATATGCAAGTGTCATTTCAGATTACAGGCGAAA